GTGTCAGACTCTTACTGACTAAAATCCACTCCGTTTCTTCTCCTGCGCTCCGCGGCTCCGTATCGGCATTAGCCTTGTTGGGCCCCATCCGTGATGGTCTGATATCTCTTTAAACTGTCAAACACCAAGCGGTCACCGGTGACCGCGACCTATTGTTCTATAATTGTGTCTATAATGACGGTACTCAACGAGTATGAATTTAATATGATTGAAGACAAGAAGGCTGTAATATATATAGATTCTAATATTTATTTACTTTCTCTCTTCTATTCGTATATTGATGACCATAATTTTCTTTTATTTCAACTTTGTGTAAGGTGATTTACATACTTATCCCTGTCTTTCACCTTCATTTCTTTTGTCGCCCTCCACCCCTCAAACTCTCGAGATACAAAATTAAAATAAATATTAGCACATATAAAAAAGAGAACCTCTCCTGTCTTATTTAAGAGTTCATTAAAAAACTTTGCTCCCTTACTAATTGTGTAAAGTGATACGTCTCCATTATCATTTTTAAAACAAACTACCTTTGGTGTGTAAGTAATTTGTTTTCATTATTTAATTAAAAAGTAGCTGGGAACGGAGTTAATTTTGACTTTGACGCGGGTTTTTCGACAGTTGAAACAATTTGTCAGTGGTGAAAGTTGTTGGAACGCTGAAGCCACAGCAGCGACCGTGCTGGCAAGCTACAGTTAAACATATACGAAAACATTAGAGGAAACTAAAATAAAAGTGAAGATTATTTAGCAAACTGCAATGTTCTAATCGCCTTTGTTTATGTTCTTAAAGTAATTTATGGCCGGAAGAGATCCATTTTAGAGAATGTAGTATGTATAGTTAGCAGAAACGTGGATTGCTTTCTCTTCATAAATTATACAATATTTTTATAATCTACAAATACAGACTGAGATACGCACTAATGAACGAGTCAACGTTCAAATCAAATCAAGAGATTGATTTATTTTATTACGGACGTCTCCTGTGAATAAAACGTCAATAAGTCCCTAATTTTCTTATTTCATTGAACTGTATTTTTAAGTCTATATAGAATACAGCATCATCTAATAGACACATTGATCAAAGTTAAGGTCAAAATAAGTATCTCGTATATCAGGTAGAAATTTGGAATGATTGAATAAAAAAGTATTTTTTTAATGAGAAGGAACAATACGATATTCATCATTATACACAATATTTATGAAACAATTCATTTCTGTAACATATATTATACGTGGACAAATCAATTCATCATGTATCTCAACTTACACGTAAGAAAATAAACATTATAATATCATCATCTTCTCGATACTTCAAGTTTGACGGCTATCAAAATAAATTCTATCAAAATACTCTTTTCACGTTAACGGTACCGTGAACTTTGTGACTAGGGATGTACCTGTATGTATAACTCGAGGGAGACTATAAGGAAGTAAGATCAGGGTTGTCACGCAGCCCAATTCTGTAGGAATGCAGTTCTATCCACATTTTCCAAATTCCTTCACCGTTGGAGCAAAACGAAAACCAATATGACTTCCTCTCAATTATTGTTCGAAATAGTTCACGGTTCTCAAATTGTTTGTTATTACAGGGCTATAAAACTGAAGTTATTTGAGAATTTTAATTAAGAATTGGTTATCTAAATTGAGAAAAGGTATTATTAGGACCATAGATATAACATAACATCACGGCTTTTTATCCCCGAAGGGGTAGGCAGAGATGCACATTATACGGCACTTAATGCTACTGTACAATGTAACCTCCACTTTTCACTATTTATGTTATGAGTCCCATGTAATAGGGGGTGAGCCTATTGCCATATACCGGGCACAATTCCAGACTCCGTGCTACCACTGAGATTTTTTGTTTTTAGAAAACCTAGTAATACTTTGCCCGACCCGGGAATCGAACCCGAGACCCTTGCCCGGCAGTCACACATGCGACCACTCGGCCAACGAGACAGTCGACGATGGATATAATTTTTATATTTCGGTGGTCAGGACTTATATTTCGTATTCCCAGTAGTTGTATACCTATACAACTACTGGAAATACACACTAATTAATTAATCTTAGATTTATTAAATTATTGTTTATTAAATGTATAGCGAGGAGTGGAAGGAGGGCAGGGAGGCATTTGCCCAGCAGTGGGACGATCATGGCTTAAAATAAAATAAAAATAAATAGAATGTATAGTGAAGAGGTAGAAACTAAAGTGTAGGGGTAGAAACATATTTCAGGAAAACAATATTTTGTCGTTGAGATTCGATATTGGGTCTATAGACCATTAATCCTACATTGACATTTCTATTCCTGTATGAGGATTACGGATCTCACACAGACATGATATTTCCAATATACGAGATCTGTCATCATAGTTCTGGAGGTCTCAAATTGGACGTAGAAGTTTGCCAACCATAATCGAGCGAATTACTGGCGAAGCAACAGTTATGTTAAGGGAAATTACTCTAATATTAACACAACTGTACACTGTACAGCCAATATAATATTCCTTTCTATTTCGTTCGTAACATGTGTGACGTCACTTTATCTAAATAAGTACTAAATGCTCACACCACGCATGAAATCGAGCACAGTTTCTTATAACGACATCAGTCATATAGAGTTTCATCCGCGAATATTCCGCCTATGAAAAATAACTATTTTCCCTATCCAAAGATTAGTTTTGGGGGCCTTTCCTTAACTTTGTATAGCTGAATTGGATTAGGTAGTTTTTCATTAGTTTGGTCACAGACATTGTGACTATTTTTGGGTTATTCAAGTAAAAAAATTGTTCATTTCTTCAAATCCTGTCAGTAATACAAAATACTGGATGGGTATCAGAGTGTATTATGTTGTCAATCATTATGATAAGACAGAAAATGATAAAGTAGATGGAGTATCGATCCATTATAATAAATAGCGTTATTATTTACTTAAACCCGAATTCTGTATTCTAGTAATAGCTGGAGCTTCATAAAAAATGGAGACGGTGTGTAGGTACGTCTCTTGGGTGCAAACATTTACTGGAAATGCTATGAACAAAGTTCCGGGATTAAACGCTCATAACCCACTCACCGCTTAAATGTGTGGGGCGGGGCACCCACCGGGCACTCGAGAGCAATCAAAACTTTAACCTAACCTGCACACGAATGCTTTTATAAATATTCAATGTGCTTGCACGTGCATTTTATATCCCAAAAACTGAATAAAATTCCCGTTCCTCATGAAACACCAGTGAATACGGTCGAATTAATCCTCGCTATTGTGAAAGCTAGGAACAAAAGTCTGGAAAAGAACCTGACGTGAAGTCGAATTTTCATGCTAGTACCCTACATAGTTACGCGCGTTTACAGAAATGAATATAGAATTGTGCACAAAATAATTCCAAAGTTTATTTCGAAATAAAATGCTTTGTTACCAGTTAGTAATGTCGTCGTACAACTATATCTACACAAGTGTAAGTCAATACATATCAATACATAGTATAAAACAAAGTCGCTTTCGCTGTATGTCCGTATGTATGCTTAGATCTTTAAAACTACGCAACGGATTTTGATGCGGTTTTTTTTAATAGATAGAGTGATTCTTAAGGAAGGTTTGTATGTATAATACATGCATATTGCACCCGTGCGAAGCCGGGGCGGGTCACTAATATAATATAAATGTAACTACCAAGAAACATACTAAATTAGTTACTATATTTTTCGGCTTACTCATGGAACTTTCAAGCCATAGCCTCTAGGCTCATATTCATGAGCAGCATTCATCATCATTTTGCTCATGTACGTTGCTCAAAATTTGACAGTTGCCCACTAGTAGATTACAGTTTATGGCAGCACTGGAATAACTGCGCGGGAAATTCAAAAAATTCACTGACTTATCAAACCGTCTAAGTAATACCAAGAAACACTCTACTAGTATTAAAATCCCAATTAATTTTCACTCACTATTAACCCATTTTTACCCTAAACTCTTTAACCTTTTGGCAAAATTTATTACTAAAAATAATGTTAAAATGTAGTGTATATATAGTGAGAGTGCTTAATATAATAATGTTTTAAATGTTAATGCTATGTGATGTCTCTTTTTTATTCAAATACATAAACTGTAGTTTACTATATTATGTTTAGTGTTTACTAACCAAATTGTATCCAGTCTGCCACCTACTAAGATTGCGACACACTTCGAAGTGAATAAAGTTCGACGGTACTGTATCCACCTGCCGCTGGCAACACATGACGCTGGCAGAATAGTCAACTACTAAAAAGTGGAGACTCAATTGCCATAAAAGAAAAAAACACTCTAAAAAACTAACAACTCTAAATTTAACATACCTTGTGCATTAATTTATAACTTCACAAACGTTTGTGGCTTTGTGGTAAACGTTCTGATGGCAAACCTAAGCTATTCCATTCTATCTAAACGTATGAAGTTACATTATAAGTTTATGCAGCGGCGTGATCTCAAAGTGACGTCACATGAAACACTGCGAATTCATTATAATGCCGAAATAAACGTAAACCTAGAAACATTCAGTACGTCGAGCATGGTTTGTATCTATTAAGACGTAGATTGAATTATAGGGACTAAATTCCTAATAAAGACCCAAAAGTTTGTGTGGATAGATCTCTACACAAAATCTTTTGTACGTCAATGCAATCAGGTAAGTAAAGGAAGGCCGCTAAAGTAACATTTGGGACAACAAAGCTCTTTCACAAGAGTAATTAATTACATTAGCAAACACGTTGTTTTAGTGTTAGCTCAAAGCGGAGATTAGAAAGCCAATTCTGTTAATCCGATTTTAAGAGGAAAACATCACGGGACGTGTAAACGCGAATCAACATAGCTTTGACGACATCGACACGCGACCAAATACATAATATGATTTATTGTTTCAATATCAAGTTAAATCCAATATTATATTGCAAAAATATCACCGTTATTTTTTTCATTTTGAAGTACCTAATGGTTTCCTTATCTTTACTATTTTCTCGTTCACAGACAGCAACTTCGTGTTGGGCAACGCTCAGGTGCCGTGCTACCCGATCGTGTACTGCTCCGACGGGTTTTGTGAGCTGACAGGGTGGGCACGCGCGCACATCATGCAGAAAGGCTGCGCGTGCAAGTTCCTCCACGGCCCAGACACACGCGATGAACATCGACATGAGATCGACGCCGCGCTAGAAGCAAAACACGAACTGAAACTAGAACTTATATTTTATAAGAAAAATGGTAAGTAGAAAGACCTAATTATATATTCAAAGCTACGCCCTTACAACATAAGATAATATTCTCTCAAAATGGAACAATACAGTCCAATTTTCCTGAGTCCTAAATAATAGGGACAAACTGGAACACACTGATCAATAAGAGCCTAAAAGTCATTAGGCTACTATGTAACTACTAAACCTAGATGCCTGAATTGACACTTAAAAAGCTTTCACGAGCTCCTCCAGACCTCCAGAGACCATAAGTACCAATCCTAATCACGAATTGGTGTTGCATGAATGTTAACAATACAGTACTTTCTACTAATGTTCTTATTATGACGTTAGCACACTACAGCAAAAACTATTTCTGAACCTTCTAACAAAATTGTTGCTAAATCTTAACTAAGTAGGTATTGCCGAAGAAAATGGAAACCTTTATAAGTTCTGAAACAGCATAAAAAAAACGTTTAAAAGTAAACTCTACGTAATAAACACTAAACGGATTATTACATTGCTACTTAGTTTTCCAAACTAAATTTCAAAGCATTACGTTAAATTGCATTCGTGGAAAGAATTACAGAGCTTATTAAGTTGCACGTTCGAGTCTAAGTTTTTTGTGCTGTAGTTAGCTACGTGCATTTTAAATCTGCCGTAATAACAATAATTATAAACAGTAACAATGTTTATTATAATAACAGTTTAACTTCTGCTTTAGACGAAAATAGAACACATCAAAGATTGAATAAGATAACAACAAAAGTCTATGACACACTGACCTACTAATTAAATCAGTGTCAAAGGACACAAAATTAAATGAACCTAAAAATATTATGATATTTACATAATAAATTAAAAAGCACTCGCAGTCATAAAACCCCGAGTACTTAGAAGAAAGACTTTTAATTCAGCCCTCGATCCTTTGCATTTATGGCTTTGCAAAACGTCGTCCACGCCACAATCGTAAACAAAACCAATAAGAGGTTTACGATTCCATTCGACAAAATTAAACTTTTACAAGCTGCCAGCTGTTTCTCGTCACCAGCATTAAGTGCTCCAGAACGACACTCAACCGACACTATATTAAGGAATACTTCAAATGACGTCCGGTAAATGTTTCACGGAACATTAAAGTCGCGAAAATTGGATGCTCCATTCATACATAATCAATGTTTTGTAAGACATCGGTTTCTTCCTTTGAATCCGAACAGAAATTAACATTCATTAAACTTTACAGGATCTCCCTTTTGGTGCCTGCTCGACATCGTCCCAATTAAGAATGAGAAACGAGAAGTGGTTTTATTTCTCGCCTCCTTCAAGGATATCACCAACACCAAGATGGCCGCCATGAACACTAATGAGAACTTCGACAGCGGTGAGTGCCTTTGTAATGATGATACTTGAGACTTCTTAACAAAATGCAACCCATAAAAATTATAACAAGTACTTTCTAAATAGTGACCTTGTCCCGAAGCCTTCTGAACACTTACTTATGAGATATTTTCTCGAGGATGCTGACAGTTGTGCATTTGTATTAACTCATCACTAAGCACGTTGTTCTAGTGCTATAGGTACATCCATAAGGTTGATAGCATTAGATTGAGCTCCCGTAGCTCCCCGTTGCCATAGCGAGTTGCGAGCATCACCGCACGGTAAAGTTCCTTTACGAGTATTGTATCGTACCCACTGTGTAGACTTCTATCATTAGAGTAGCTAGACAGGCAACAGTGCTTATTCTTTTGTGTCCGCTAAACCAAAGCTGAAAATATTGATCTTTTGCTATTGACAGAAAAGAACAGATAAACTTAAGAACCTTTCTTGTAATCATAGAACATGAAATCTGAATTTACGGACCATCCCTTGAGGGGCGAATCAGAAAGAAAATAAAGTTTAGTTGACACCAACCAGAATCAGCACTAGTAAGTCTGAGTAGATCATAGATAGGTAGAACTAGAGTTAGTGAGTTCCGTAGTGAATATGATTAAACTGTATATCTTTGTAACTACAAATGCATCACTGAACACGTTTTAATATAATGAAGATGAACTTACCGCTGATCTGTTAGCAAAGGACCTCGTTCAAACAAATGTATGTAGGTTTATTTACAATAATAATAGCATTTTACTACTTTCTATTATATTTTAATACTTTTTAATAGTTATTACCTTTTTTACAATTTAAACTAAGCAAATGCTACAAGTTTAAATTCGAAAAAAATGCATGTTCTATTTTTAATTTCAAGTAAAAATTCGGTATACAAAATCAGATACACAGTTTAAAAGTTCCTTATTTGAAATTCTATTAACTATAACGGTTACCAACAATGTCTAATAAAACTTGAAGCATTGGCTGTTTGTTCAAGTATTCAAATACCCTTTGAATACCACAAACTTGTGTATCGAATTAATTGAAACCACCCTGTATTCGATCTAACTTTTGAATAACAACAATTACTAACCCCATATTAGATCCAAATTGGATGAACATGTCGCCAGTTGCGTTTTATCAATTATTATTTCATGGTCAATACTTTGCGCAATATCTACATAATTATTTTAGTTTTTACATTATTTTTTATACTTTATTTTAATACTGCCTCGTTGGTTTAATGGTCACAAGTGTGACTGATAAACACGAGACTGTGGTTACGATATCCGATCCGTGGTACTACTGCTGGGTTTATTGTATGAAACATCCGTAGTAGCTCGGAGCCTGGGTTCGTACCCACTGCATGGCACTAACCTCACCCCAGTGATGCATTACCCGCATAGCATGAACTCATGACAAAACTAAACTAACATTGACTGTATTATACATCCGTACATACCTACGTTTTTGAATAAAACGGACTGTTATGCTTTTCTTTGCACATTCACTTTTTTTACATTTGTAACTGTCTATACAGGCGTTTTTATTTTTAAATAGGAGAAAACTTGTACATACAAATGCTGAATAAGTTAATTGCAAGCAAATCTTGTAGCAACATATTAATATGGTGTTAAATATTATAGTGTTGCATAACGGGTTGCGATATGCAACAAAAAGTTCCACAAATTAAACCATACGATATTCATTGGCATAATAAGTTATGTCTTCACAATATAAAACTTACAACAGTTAAAAAATTGAAATGTTCTTCTTTCGAAAATTTTATTTTTCTTTCCGTAGGCCTGTATTATCAGTTTACCATTATAAACCATAGACAAATAAATATTCACAATCACACTTTTTTTGGATAGCATGTTTTGGAGCATGGCTGTATTCTCTACACACTTACTACCTATTTAAAATACAATACTTTTCTGGTTTTTACAAACTTACAATGCTATTCGATTTATAACAACTTTAGTTTACTAACTATATCTAAAAGTTACGATACGAATATATTTACCACTGTTAAAATTTTAGTGCAAAAATAATGTACTTAAGATTATAATTATGGCAAAATAAATAATACATTTAGTAAGGGATGCTAAGGTTGAATGTCCTTTGTATTCTTGGTTTATTGTTGTACCTATTTGTAGAATATTTCATGAGGCTTAGTGCGTTGGTGTTATTATGTTAATTTATTGTTTAGCATATTTAAGACAAGCCATTGTAAGTTGCTAACCGAGTCTACAAATCAATAAATTCAATATATTATACAAGATTTACGAGAATAAAATTTAGGAAATTCGATTTTTTCTTAAAATTCAAATATGCTCGTAACTGAATACCTACCTACTTACATTCATCATCAAACAGCCTAATCTTAATAAACAATTAAACTGTCAAATACCAAGCGGTCACCGGTGACCGCAACCTATTGTTCTATAATTGTGTCTGCAAAACCGGTACTCGACGAGTTAATACCCTCATCAAAAAAATATTTCCGAATAAAAAATAAAACCATTTTTAATATTTCTGACATTTTGAAATAATTACTGGCAATTTGTAACAAAAACATATTTTGACGCCATTAAAAAACCTTTTCTCACTTTTTTATTGTGTAAATGGCAATTTCATAAATATTATCACAAATAACGGCTATGTAATGTTTTCATTTCAATAAAAAATACAATTATTTTTTTTTTCAAAAATATAATTGTTTTAATAGAATATGATCTGTATTATTTAAAAAATAAAAAGGAGCGATAGTTAACAATGAAGTACAAATTACAATCTTTACACCGAAAAATGTATTTCATGATGGATAAACAATAAGAATTTGGTATAAAATACAGAATAATAAGCCAAACATAGACAAAGAGAGCAACTAATACGTTTATTGTCTACAGTCCTATACTACGTAAAAAGAAATATTAAACGCTTTACACAAGTTAACCTTTAAACCACTTTATTAACAAACAAGTAGGTACCTATAGTTTAATAATGTAGGTACTTACCCAATACAAATCCAAAAGTTTAATAGAAGACCGCATGACTCATTATAACAATGGGCAAAACGGGAAAATTTTCTTTTAATGATCTCAATTTATGAACTAAACTAAACAGCCTTGTAATGACTACAGAGTGTGGCCATTTTGTGTAATTACGAAAAGTTTTCAAGTCAGAAGAGTCCTTGTCTACAAATTGAGGATTAAGTGATCCGTCCCTTACTGATTGTAGGATATAGGTACTCTTAGGTAAATACTCTCTAATTTTGTCCTCTAATGGAATTTTTATATAAAAGTTCCATTAATTATGTAGTATGTACTTGAAATATGAATTATATGTTTTAATCAAAGGTAGGTTGTTGTAGTAATTAGGTAGATACAGAGTGGCACTTTCATTGTTTTGTTATAGCCATTGTTTATCTATATTCAGTGCATTTTATATGCTAGCATTCGTTATGATTTAGTAGTAATACAAATACAAATATAATACTTAGGTACTAACAAAAGCAACAATTAATAAGTTAGAACGTTTAATTTGTGAGATAAAGAGCCTAAATTGCATTTTATTTGCGATATTTAGTTACAATAAAATTCTGTACAAGCTACATTTTAGTTTCAATGGATTTAAAATAGATAAATTAGCTCTTTCCCCTCGCTTACTCGAGCTTTGAAAATTTTATCTTACATTTCTATTCTACTCTACTTTTTCATATTATTGGTACTTGATGTTTGTCACCAATTTGTATTTTGAAACATTTCTTTTATTTGTTTCGAACGATTATGATCTTCAAATATTTCAATTGTCGCACTGTAGGCTGCTTGGTACTCGCTTACTTTTATTTCTGGCGACATTCTGTTTTTGATACAAACACGCGAAAGTTCTAATTAAATTATAATCGTAATAACCGCATCATTAACTTTACTATCGGTACTTATCATCATTGTGTTTGTGTATTAATAAAGTTTTATCTGGGCCGCTTTGTTTGCGCGGCACATGAATAGAAATAACCTAATAAATAATTCAATCAAAGTTTTCACATTATAAAACCGATAATTTTATACTTCGGTATTTCGAACTTTCGCGGTATCAAAGCAGCATTATTGCCTACTTATGAGATTTTCTTATATACAATCTGAGAAGATAATTCTTGTATCTAATTTACTCCGGTATATTTTCCTCAAAACTCGCTTTCATTTCAAATATTACACTTCAGTGATTTGCAACAAATTAGGTAAATTTTAATTATGACAACATCAAGAAATGTCTTTCATACGGATTTATAAGAAAATCATTGAAGGGGCAGAGTTTCCTCATAATAAGTAGAGATTACTCGTAGCTGGTACTTGGCCAGTGGTCCACTGTGTAACAGGGTGGTTTATGCATGCAGGAGCCGCGGTGCGGCCTTCGGCTGGCGTGGTCACTCTAGCGTTATCCCCATTTGTACCCGCAGCGGCACTCTTGGGCGCCCGGTTCCGCGCTGAATCTAGTTGCCTACTTCCAGACCCGAATGGCAATCTTGACCCCGAAGCGCCGTCGCCCGCGAACATGGGCAGGCGACGCTCTAGGGCGGTACTATACCAGCTTTCAGGACATTATAAACCGGATAAAATGAAGACGAAACTAAAACTCAACAATGTTAGTAAGGTAAACTTTATTTTATACCGGGGGACGTATTTAGTTTTCCGCTACAGTAGGTACTCGGGTGGCCGCATCCGCTCCTTCCGGTTTGGGACGGCTCCCGAGTACTTGAAAACTTTCATTCATAAAATATGCTTGGGATGCCGAAATAATTTTAATAAAACAGTTGAATTTTAAGAGCTGCAATAAAATTATGTAAATTATTTCAGAATCTATTACACTCATCGGACCCTCCGTTGCCTGAATATAAAACGTCAGCATTAAAAAAGTCTAGATTTATAATTTCTCACTACGGGGTGTTCAAAACATTTTGGGATTGGCTGATCTTAATAGCCACGTTTTATGTGGCAGTAGTGGTTCCGTACAATGCCAGCTTCGTTGACGAAGGCCACCCCAGGATAAGTGTGACGAGTGATGTCGTGGTAGAAGCGCTCTTCATTATCGGTAAATCACTTCAGTTACTTTTTAATATCCTATAACGGAAAGTTTTACACTCGATGTATGCGTTTTGCAGATATAGTGCTCAATTTCCGGACGACATTCGTAAGTAAGAAAGGCGAAGTAGTCTCTGATTCTAAGGCGATAGCCCTTAATTACATCCGGAGCTGGTTTGTGGTGGATCTCCTGGCGGCGCTGCCGTTTGACCTACTTTATGCGTCCGACGTATACAGCGGGGCGGTGAGTTCACACTACCGACTAATTAACTAACAGCGTTATTATTTATTTATTGTTCTAACTAAAACAACTTGTATTTTAGTGAGCAACCGTTTCACAGTTTGCTGTACCTTGTAAAGGTCCTTTTGTTTTTGCTTTGATGTCAGGTACGTATAATTAAATAATGACTTTATTCGTACAGGAGTCGACACACGGAAATGTGCATTTAGTGAAATTAACAAGACTGTTACGACTGGCCCGGCTGCTGCAGAAGATGGATCGATACTCGCAATACTCGGCTTTGATACTGACGTTACTAATGCTCTCTTTCACTTTGCTGGCTCATTGGCTCGCTTGCATTTGGTTCATAATAGCAGACAAGGAAATTGAAATTCATAAGAACGAGAGTTGGGACTTAGGTAATTTCGTATTGAATTATTTTAAGTACCTTGATATTTAAGAAAATATTAATGTTGTTTTCTTATGCTATTATTGACAAGTTAAATGATTTTCAATACCTATCAATATTCAAATACAAAGTCATTGATCAATATACCTCTACAATCTAATGAACAGATTTCTAATTTACACAAACTCCAGCTGTGCGATACATGAATGAGATTCTCAGAGATGAAACTTTATATTACTTCGTTCTAGGATGGATAAACAATCTGGCGGAGAGGTTGAAAGTGCCGATTCCAAACATTTCACACAGCGAGAGCTATGTGACGGCACTTTATTTCACGTGCTCATCTCTTACTAGTGTGGGCTTCGGTAACGTGTCAGCCAATACTCTCGCAGAGAAGATCTTCAGTATCATCACCATGTTGATCGGAGGTAAAGGGTTTGTCTAATCAATGTTATTCTTGAACTATCTAGGTAATTTTGCATGATTACTTGCTATTTTTTGTTGAGTTTTTCATAAAAACCTTACATACTCTGCAGATGCTTTGTTCGTACCATACATACTGTTTAATTTAAACTGACATAATCTAATTCGGGACCGGCCCAATATATTGGAGTGGAACATAATGTAGATTAATATCAAGTACTTATACGGGCGTTCTAAAATACACCATAATTAACGATTTAATCATGAAATTCTGCACGTAGTTAATAACACTGATAAATATTTGCGGTGTGCAAATAATGAGCTTGAAACCACAGCGAGAACCTCATAATCACTTCACGAAACTATAAAACGTGTTGGTGAAACCTGTCGCGTATTATATAGCTGACAATTGGGTAGTTTCCTGCGTCAAAAATAAATTATTTAGATTTTTCAGTCCAATGAAATATTGAAAAATAGTTACACTTTCATTCATTGATTTGCCGATATATTTAATTTTCGATTTATTTTAGCATTTTTTTAGATATAAGTGTGCTATTTGACGCGAAAATATGATGACGTCATAAGATTCATAGAACAGTATCGTCTTTGACGTTTCTATAAAAGTATTGAATTTGACTATAGTTGTCAACTACCGTATTGTACTGTTTTAGCACTGATGCACGCTGTAGTGTTTGGTAACGTTACGGCTATCATACAGCGAATGTACTCCCGCCGCTCCATGTATCAAAGCAAATGGCGGGATCTCAAAGACTTTCTCACCATAAACCAAGTACCGAAGGAACTAAAGCAACGGATGCAAGACTACTTCCAGACCATGTGGTCGTTAAATCACGGCATCGATATACATGAGGTAAATTATTTATACGTGGATGGCTTGTCTCGTGACTGAGAGCGTATATTTTGTGTGGAACACGTGTGCGAACATCATTTTTCTTTGTAAGCCTGTGAGTCACGTTGATAATTTACAAGCTTCCTTTCCAACCTATTGTTTTTATTAAAGTCAACCCACGCTTGGTAACGAGTTTAAAATATTATTGTATTAAAATAAAACACTTTATAAAATAAATACATCACTATAATACACACCAGCGAGGAAGTACGGTGATACGCAGATAAGATAACTCTGCTTTGAAGTTCGTCCGAAATCCAAACGAGCTAAATGGGCTGGAAACGAAATATAATGCGATAAACTTAATCTCTTTAGCTGTGCTACATTTTTTAAATATATTTTTACTAAACCCTTTACATTTTTGGGGTCCCGTAACCAAAGGATTTTAAGAGGACATATCCCATGGAATTATCGCTAAGCCTAAGGCCAATGACCTTCCAAATGAACAACATAATTTAAAGGATCATGTTTCATTTTATCTGTATGGAAATGTTAAAAATTTACGACCTAGTACAGTACAGTACGAGTATCACTCGTCCTTATCCAATTTAATAAAATCTCATTTACATGTATGTACAAGGAAGGAACGGACTTACGTCAATGCAAATCTAGGCTGCCGCTTTGAAGTCATATGAGAAAATATATATTTCCTGTAGCTGTATTTGAAGGGTTTGTTTATTTTTAGACTCTCAAAGAATTTCCCGAAGAGTTGAGGGGCGATGTGTCTTTACATTTACATCGGGAGATATTATCTCTTCCAATATTTGAGTCAGCTTCACAAGGTTGTCTTAAGCTGCTGTCTTTACACATACGGAACAACTTTTGTGCCCCCGGCGAGTATCTCGTCCACAAAGGGGACGCACTAACGTACATCTACTACATATGCAACGGTTCCATGGAAGTGATGCAGAATGACATGGTCGTCGCTATTCTCGGTGAGTCGCTTCCACAACAAACGAACCCTTTGTTCATACCTCACATTCATCTGCCCCTTTCTTCTAAAACACGTACGTTCGTAAATATTTACACGCCGTTTATTAAATAGGTAAAGGAGATTTGGTGGGTTGCGATATGAATACCCATTTGCAAGCTTACAACGGTACAGGATCGTCCCACCCGCAAGGGAATAATCCTGATGTTGTGGTCAAATCGAGCAGCGATGTTAAGGTGAACTGAATTATTAATTTAACAAATGTCTTCAAATTATTGCAGGAATTATTGGGAAATTATCATGTATGTTATGTTCAACAGGCGCTAACCTACTGTGACTTGAAATGCATACACATGGGTGGATTGGCTGAAGCTTTGCGATTATATCCTGAGTACCAGCAAGAGTTCATACATGATATACAGCATGACCTCACGTACAACTTGCGGGAAGGATATGAGGCTGAAGCGGAGTCTGATGGCAACGGGCACCCATCTCTCACATTACCTTCAATATCAGAGGACGACGAGAACGCTGCAGAAGACACAGCACTCACGCCCAAAAAACTACCCGTGTCAAACACAAACAGCCCTCGGCATACAAAATTCAGGTTCTAAACAACGTCCATAAAAATAATTCCCGAGCTAAATTATTACATCGTGTTCTGTTTTATACACCTATCAAAGCAAATGGTTTTCTATTGTTCTTCTGAACGAAATTTTCTTGTTTGTTATATTATTTTGTTTATGTCTGAGGGTTCAGTTATACCTTTTATTTTATTCTGAATGTGTTTTAATGTATTATATTCTGAACGTATGAATGTTTCCAGGACTGATGGTCAGCCGCGCCTTTCTCATAGAGAATTGCGTGAAAGAATAGAAAGACAGCGTTCAATAGCAACGCCGAAAATATCTAGAGCCGACTCGCTGGAGGGGCTCAATTTAGAAGTACATAATACAAGGTCGTCAGTAGACAGGCTTGACACCCAGGTATCGAGCTTGCATCACGACGTGGCCGCGCTTAGCATGGAGGCAAGTAAAAATGGCATCACGATTCTAATAATCTCACGTCGTCGACCCGTTTGTCACAAGTCGCGTGACGTAGATCCTTAATAATGCAATGATATCATGCAGCCTTCATATAAGGATGTGCTATAAGCTCATGCCCATTTACCGACTTCATAGGACGACCTCATATCAAATTTGTTTATAACCTATTTCAAACCGGTTGTTTAAAGTAGTTCCAAATACTTTGAAACATTGCTGGTTAGAGTTAGTACACTTGAACATTCTCGTAAAATTGTGTACACTTCGAACTTGGAGCTGTTAAACTTTAGTACTTCAATTGAAGGTCTCAATAATTAAGGTGTGTTTATAATGTTTCTATCAGGTTCGCCACGCCATCCAAGCGTTACAAGAAATGACAGCACCAACAGGATGGCACGCAGCACATTCCAATCCTAATCTCCAGTGGAACGCTCCACCGAACCAACTGGCTCGCAGCTGTAGTCATCCGCCTGATGTCTTCTGTTGGGATCAGGTTAGTAATATTGTAAAACCAAATGGTTATAGATATGGCCGTATTATCCTGATATACTTAACTGACATTTTTCTCCAACAGCAAGAGCGACCCCTCACGCCGGAGAGACCAAAGGTACACAAGACTACCCAAACTGAGCCTTTCCTACATCTCGTCACGCAGTACATTATGGAGCACCCAGCTACTGTTATGTTACTGCTAGGCATCGACCCGATGGCGAACCTGGCGCCCGTCATGCCGGGCACGGTGGACTACTACACAGACACGCGAGGTCGACGGCCCAGCACATTGGAACAAATTATAGAATCGGAGGCAGGCAGCCAAACACCATCCAGCACGACAAGCGAGAAGTTTGAACCAGTGAGAAGTCCTAGTGGAAGTGTAAAAGACCTAGAAGTGTCAATAGAGAATGAAGTGAAGAAACCGCCAGAAAAAGAAACGTTAAATGCGACTATGAGACGCAGCAGGTATTCGACCAGTGACTTGTGCGAAGCCTCGGAACGATTGCTCGCCACACGCTCCACGCACCCCAGCACTCGCAGCCTCAAGTTTAACATCAACAGCTAAGTTTATGATTCCATTTCGTCTAAATATATGCTCATTAGTCTTTAGTCTTCAAATAATAAATGCCATTAGTTTAATTGTACATTTGGTTACCTTAAATTCTATCTTATAACTTATAAGTGTATTTCGTTTTATAAAACGACCTTTGTAATTTTTATCACTACTTCTTGATCAACGAAATCTATCTATATCATTACGAATATCTTCTAGTTAGTATGTATGGCTAGGACATCATACTGAACGATTGTACATATCAAGTTTACGAGAAGTTGTATTGTTAGTTTAGTTTGTAATTCTACTTTATCTAGTCACTGTTTAGGCTTAACGAAAGAGAGAGACGTTGGGAATTAATTTGGGTCCGATGTTTAAGAATTTGCTACTGATATTGAATGGCAAGACGCATTTGTTGCATATTCGTGTACAAATAAATTCATTGTTCTGTGGTCTTTAGACAAACAAGCTTTTAAATATTAACAGTTTTCTTATAATCCATGCAGTTCTTAGTAGCAGGTACATACATACATACATCACCAATCGGGATGAGTTATAGCTCCATTTGCATACGTATGAAGAAATGACCTTGAAAGCTTTGTAAACATTTTAAGGCGTTTATGTCATACATTTATCCATATTGTTGATAAGATAGTTCTCTATTTTATAATACATTTTAAAATATTGCCGTCAATTCGGTGTGTTTATGTAAGACAATACTAAGCATAAATCATCTTCGTACCAAATCTCCCTCTGATCTCAAAATACGTTTTATATCTAAATATAGAAACACGATGTGGTCTTCCTTTGAAGTTATCGGTAACCAGTAAACTAACTCCTTGATATGTATTATGAGTTAGATAACTGGAACTTGTAAACTACAACTTCGTGCCAAATACCTGTATTGTCCGTGACAATGTCAGAAGATAATGAACAATGTCTATTGTCATTATGTAGAACAAATGATTAATTTATTAATTAATAGAAGAACAAATTTTTACTCGGACATTATAAGCCCTCTCCTTTGTGACCAAATTAGTGTAATGAAGAGAACATTATTTAAAAATGTTTAATTAAGTGATACCTAAAACATTTTATAGAAGTAAATATTCTGAGAATTTTTCCATAGGCACTGTCTTTTAACGCATATTTTATGATATATGTGCTAATTGGATTAATGAGGTAGAAATGTGAACCTTGAAGTGTTCATGAAACCTGATGCTCTAATAATGTCGTACCTACTGTCTTCTTATAAAGGTACATTACAAAAAAAAAATAAGATTTCACATACAACTGTCTCAGTTCACATATTATGTAAGTACAAGCTCCGTGGGCGTCACTTGATGAGAAAAACCCTTCTCAACGTTTTTTACGATACTCCATAACATAATTAATACTACCTCTAGTTACTATATCCGACATGATGATTAACAACGGTGAAATAAGAAAGAAATATTATTATGATATTACAAAGATGACAGCTAATTACGGAAATCCTATAACAGTACATTTTGACTTTGTATATATTGTTTGAAACTGTATGTAAGCAATACACCTACCTAGTAGTTCTAGAATAACTGTTATTTTATGTTTCAAATATATTTCTATAGTCTAAGTAGATAGAGATTGTTAGATAACTATTTTTGCCTCATGATTCATAATAATAATTGGTATAAATATGAACTCTAATTATACTTGTAATTAGGCATATTATGTGTTGACTTCAAGTGTAGCGGAATAAAATAGTTGTTTATGAACCTGTATTGCAGGAACAATACACTATGAATTTTATTATTAATAAATGTAAATTCTAGTAGAGAAATTAAATTCAAAAATTATCTTTGATAATAAATTGTTATAAGAACGGAAACGCTTACTAGAAATAATAAATGTGGTGTACGTTGAATAGAACCCATGAATGTGATATGATGTTAAACACGTGCAGTGCCTAAAATCTCATTTATTTATTTATTTACTTAATTAATCTGTGTCTTTTATTAAAATCTAAACTATTTTACTAAACGTTATGATTACGCATACGTTTTGAAAATATTTTGTACATATTGAAACTTAATCTTGTAGTACAAACTATTAGTTACCATAAAGTTGAATAAAGACAAATCGATGTTGAATACAGTGTTTCATTATTTCTAGGTTAAGATAAAGATGTCTGTGTCGTTAATTAGATGGCCAGTTGGGATAATAAAAATTCTAATGTGATCTTGTGGCCACATCGGTTCAAGGGGAAGTTGTAAATAGTAAAGTAAATATACAGCGCGTGTACCTACATTTACTTTCACGGCAGCCTGAACTCGACATTCAATATCTTTAATGTAAATAAATAAAATTGTCTGGCATTGAATATTCTCGGAAAGATGGAAAACGTCAATAACAAAATAATCTTTTCCGATCTGAGGCACGTACGAGTCATTGAAAAATTGACCTCATTATAATGTTTTGACAATTTCATACAGTATTTGTGTACCGTAATACAAAGATGTGTAATTATTAAAATCTCAATTCATAAATATCAGTTGACGTCAATAATTAGTCCTGTGCGAAATTAAAAACATGTGTTTTCAAAACAACAAAGAACTTATTCTGGAACATTTGCGTCAGGTATACAAACACCGAGTGCAACAATCATAATATGAAATCAATATCCTTATTTTGTTCAGTTTTTTTTTTTTTATTTAGGTATTTCTTTTTAACAAAATACATCAGTGAATGGCGGACTTAATGCCTTAAGGCATTCTCTTACAGTCAACCATAGGGAAGTGCAGAGAAATGAAGTGGTTGATGCGAAGCCAGAACACACATTTACTTACGTACATATTAACGAAAATGGTGTAAAATATTTTATTTATTTACCAAACCATACAAAATACAGGAGCGATGAAGAACCTATTACATTAACGAGCCAGCTGTAATACTGTACGAAACATCCCCCATTCCTCAAAAGTCCATTAAAGCAGCTTTTATTCAGGCGCGAAAATGTTCACGAACAATTCATGTCGAGGAACTTTGTGCCAGAGCATCATAGTCTTATGAAAACAATGTAAGAGGCCAGCCAACAACAATAGATTTCTGTCTAAAGTCTAGCATTTTGCGAGGGAAGGATTCACCTAAATTTTCTTACTGAAATGAAAATTATATTCGGGAAGGAATTAAACAACTTTAATTAAAGAACCGTCTAATTTTGTAAATAGATTATAGAATTATGTTCATTTAGAAAGATTGAACTTTTATGCAATTCTTGCTTCACTTTCTTAAAAATTACTTAAGATGAATTGAATAAGTGATTGAATATTATATGAATATTAAATACATTGAAGCAAGAGTAAAGAATAAAATGGCTAAAGTTTCAATCACACAGAATGGTTGGACATTTTCATCACAACATGTTCTCATCGCGTTTACGACGAGCTCGTAATGAATGAGTACTGTTAGAAAATTTACACATTACGAGGACGATACGACGCGATTACTCTACGACTAGATCACGATAAATTTTTGAAGTAAATAGTATGTCCCTGTTAAATATTGGATATACATAATAAAAACCACTTTCCACAGGATGACCTTAGATGTTTCGAAAAAAAATCATAGTAACTTATTACATTATAGTTCAGTTTACAGTGTTCTGATTTTAAGTTCATTCGTTGCCTGTGTGTCCTGCAAATAAACGTAGGGTCTAAATACATCGTACTTTGTGTAATAAATCGTCGAGACTAGCTGCCTCGTTGGACGAGAACCCGAATCCGGTAACGTATTGTAGTGCTTTTCGATTCGTAAATTAATATGTCCCTTCTTAGCAATAATTCCGAATCTAGAATTGGGACTGACATTTGGAAACCGTCTCGTGTAACATGGGACTTCCTTTACAACATTTACATATCTTTCGAGTTTCGACCTCGTTGATTAGGAACATGAGCGTCTTAAGTGAAAGGTCAAGATATCACCCAAGTCATGAACTCACATGCCCCATTTAAATGTTCATAGAAAATAAGTTGCCCATAAAATGCAAAGCTGTGCTAGTTGTAGCCTCCGCGTAATAAAGTAAGTAATGATGTCAATGTAGGTCGTGGCTCGTGACGAAGCCAGGCCCGCTTTAATTTGCCGTAGCTCAGCTCGGAGCATTCCCGGAGTTATACGGCTATCAAACTATTAGTGAATTTGTTCTCTCAACTGTAAAGCACCTACATTAAATACCCTAGCCTCGATGAAGGGTTTATGTAAATTATGGTGTGTTTACTACCTTGTTCATGTTGTACTCGTAAACGCCACTAAAGGAGCAACGATTCTTGTTCTGTTCTGGTTGTCTGTTCTGGTCTGTTCTATGGCATTCCTAGGATTTTTAAGTTGGTAAGTTTCAACGATTGTTGAAACTGCATGAGGTCGGCAATTAGTCTGCCATATTACCTCTATGTAAACCTTTAACTGTGTAATGCGTACAACGCACAGTTTATTTTGAGAGTTACGGAGCATTGACAATTTTGGTAGATACCCTGATATATTGCCTTAAAAATATTTTATAAGTGGGTTAAGTCTCTTGTCCAAGCAGGTACTTTTTTTTTAAGGGGGAAAATCATCGAATGGCTGCTCCCGCCTGGGTGAGACGGGAGGGAGTGTCAGACTCTTACTGACTAAAAACCACCCCGTTCCTTTTCCTGCACGTCGAGTCGGAGCCCCGGTTACCCGTAAGGTTCTCCGCGACCACTTGAACGTTAGGTCCAAGCAGGTATGTGGTTACTTAATGGAATTGCAACCGTCTAATAAAAACACTTCATTACAAAATAAATAAAAGATCACGTAAAATAACATTTCCATATAAATAATCTAGATTCTACTGTTTACAATAATACTTTAAAAAGCTTTCACGAAAATTGCTAGTGCCTGCGGCGCTGCAGCCGTATCGACGTGTTGATTCGAAGTAATCTTTTTAATATTTATACACATATAAAATACATCCATTGTATTATATTACCAGCTTATACTAGTAGATTCACTTGCGTTAGTAAACATTTTGCAAGCCGATCCATAGTACTCTGTCAAAGTTCATCGCAACTGGTTTAGTAATTTAGAGTTAGACGTTGAAGTTCAAGAAAAAAACTTCTAAATCATACAAACGAACTGACATTTGCATTTAGTACCAGACTACTCGTAGTTAAGACTTAAGATAACTACTTGGTTGACCTTTAATGCCATCAAATCCTAAGTTTAATTCCCGGATCAACTCGAGTCTTGTCCTTATCGATTCCTTACTCAGAAGTATAATTTAGATTTGAGTCAGATTTATGGGTACTGGATCTCTGATCATACTTGTGTATACCTATAATCTATCTCTGCATTAGTTTCAGTATTTCTTTAAGACGTTGTTAGACGTCGACGAAGTATGACGTTACCAGAAAAGTTAACATTCTGTTTGAAGGTTTTATATGAAGTTTCAAATAAATAAAGATTTTTTAACATGAACTTAAACACTGCTACTGCTGTGTCCCCAAAGGAAAAAGACGTCGTTTTGTCGTTCCGTACCTATTTCCCCGCACTTCACTGACTTTTGCAATTTAAACTGATGCTATCGCAGTTCTTGTTAAAATAACTATTAAAAAAAACGTAAAAACTTCGGTGTGCCGTGTTTTCCAGGAAAATAACGTAGTAAAGTGAAACGTGCTACAAAATGAGGACACTCGTGGGCCTACAGCGGTGCATGTCCCAAATAACGTCTACTCTACAGGTAATGTCAATAGGACGTTCCTAATATCAAGTCCTTCATATAAACCTTTTCGTGGCGTCATTGGTAGATTGATTGCAAAAGGGATTAATAAAGAATACTCTAAATGAATACCAACACTTTGGAAATCCTTTTTTTGAAAAAAAAATCATCGTCAATAATAGGTAAATCATCCAATGAGTTCTCCCACCTTGAGTGAGGAGAGAAGGATTGTCAAATTCTTACTTACTAAAAACCACACCGATCGTAGGATGCAGTAGTGTTTCGAGCTGGAGCCCCAGTATCGGGCAAGGTTGCCGCAGCCCCAGTATCACCACATAACCCTTCGGAAGATACAAAGCTTTGTTACAATAATAACAATATTTTGCATAAATATTGTTAAATATTGGAGGAAGACCAAGCGGAATGTTGGTAAGGATCGTCATCGTAGCAGATGGCGCTCTGCGGTTTCTCTCTGGAGTAGGCACAGTACATGGGACAAAGCGTGAATTTATAAGTAACTACGTATCTACGTACTATTGTCACGTTTATTTATTGTTATCTGCAGTTTATTGTTTAGCTGTTTGTGTTGTTTCTTAGAAATAACCCATTAAGTACCTACGCCTCAGCACTACTTCTCTGCGAAAACGAACTGGTACCAGAAATATATGAATAGTTCAAGGTATATTCATAATTGCAGTGAATCTGGATTGATTGTTTGTTTACTTGTAATTAAAAACTCAATACTAACTAAGAAACATTTTTTTAATCAAAAACGACTAGGAAAAATTTTAATTCCCACTTTTCTTCGACTGCACTATCCTATCTGTATGACATTTATAAATAAGATGCGGGGGAAGCGAGACCGAGGTTGAAAGCTAGTATGTGATAATGTCACTATACTAAAATGCTTATTATAACCCGCCATTTTAAGGTATAATAGGCCTGCTTAGGAAGCGTAGGAAGTTAAGCAGGTAAGGCCTAGCTTACATCAACATATGCTGCCTAAAAACTGTCTATTGTTACCCAAACACATTGTGATTCAAAGAATCTAAATTTAATATTTCTAACTATTCCTACAACTACAAGTACCTACAGTATTCATCATCACTCTTTTGTTCTGAAAATTGAATTAATGAAAATCTATTGTGAATTGTGCGTCGTTTCTGTTCGTTCGTTTTTCACTCTAAATGTCTCTTTGTTCCCATAGTTACCGTCACCAGTGTTGCCGAGTTAATTATTCCGTCGTTTCGTTTTGTTTTCATTTCTAGTTTGTTTTGAATAAAATAGAGCGAAGCTGTAATGTTTGTCTGCTTTTTTGAAACGTTTTAAGTGCCTCTGCTTAGCACAGAAAGTACGTACGTGAGTACCTATATCGGAGTACAAAGTTTGTATTCGT